AATGGAATGAAGGGGCAGGGAGAGACGAAAAGAGGGAGATGATGATAAGAAGAGATGGAGAGAGATTTGGGCCAAGGTTGGATGGGGAAGGGCCTGTGTGGGCATGGAGAGGAGAGGCAGAGAAGCTGACAGAGACGGAGAGGGGAGGGGAGGTCCCTGTGAAGAAGGAGAGATGGAGGCCGAAGGTCCTCAAGTTCTCAGCGATGGCCACCAGGTGGCACTGTCCACCCCGAGTAGCAGGGCTACGGTCCAGGGCTGGCCTCAAGAGAGACGGACGGAGGTGGGAGAAGAAGCCTGGGGGCGGCCACGGAAGGGGCAAGGAAACTGTCACCACCACAGCCGCGTCTGTTAACTCAGGAAGTCCCTAACCCGGAATGAATCCCTCACAACATCCCCTCTTGACAGTCATATGCCGTCAACAGTCAAGCTGGCCATAAACAGAAGAGTTTGTAAATCAGCAAAGGTCTCTGTATTCACATAGCCATAAACCATGTGGACTGTTGTTTGCATAAATTCCCGATCTGTCAAAATCAAGAGAACAAATCCGAGACAAAAGTAACCAGGCCACCAAGCCCCCTTCATCGGGGATGAGAGTGGAGAAGAGTTCCTCAATTAGGGACTTGAAGGTGGAGAACTTCTCCCTGCAGAGTATCTTTTTGCTCTCTCTGCCATCCCTTGGGCATCCCAAACGACCCCTTTTATTGTAGTTTTTCCTCACTTCAGAATGGCCTCAGTTCCTCATGATAAAACAAGGTGATCTCAAGTGCTGGTTGTGAGGGAGGGCATGACGGGGTGGGATGTTCATGATGGTGGTCAGGATGGGACATTGGCTTCTGAGAAGTGAGAAGGATGCTTGGGGGGGACGGCTGGTGGGTAGACATGGAGCTCGGGAGAGGGGTCCAGTTGGAGCCGTGGATCCGGGGTCCTCAGGCTGCAGCTAAAGAGTGGTCAGAGACACAGGTGTGCATGCAAAGAGAGAGAGAGGACGGCACCTTAGAGAAAGCCATCCCTGAAGGGCTGAGTGGAGGAGAGGTGATTACGGGGTGGCCTAGGGGGCGCAACCGGGTAAGTCAGGGAAAGGACGCCTGTGTCAAATGCTAGAACACACGCTCCACAGTACAGCCCGTGCTCAGCCACGATCCCCGAAGGCCTGGGGCAGAGCTGTGTTCAGGGATGGGGGTGAAGGCAGCCAGTGGAGGCTGAGAGGCGAGAGGGGCAGAGGAGGAAGCGTAGACTCTGGGTTATGGAGGGAAAGAGCGGAGAAGACCGCATGGGAGGTGGGCCACTCAGCCTGAGAAATGCCTGTCACTCTGGAGACTGAGGGAGCAGCTGAAGGTATGAAACAAGAGCAGGGATACCTAGTGAAGGAGACCCCTGAAAAGCCAGGAAACAGAATCCAGAAGACGTGGGAGGACGAGGGGAGCAAGACATTTTAAACGACTCCAAGTTGGCCACAGGCTGGGCCAGGTGCAGTCATGGGGCCCCCAACTGGGGCTCCCTGAGAACTGGGGATGCGCACGGGGGCTGAGGAAGGATAGGGACGGGGGGGATCCTGAAAGGGGAGGCTGGGCAGCCCTGATCCTTAGCTAGGCCAAAAACCAGCCCTGCAGCAGGCCAGGGTGGAAACAGGTAGGCTTCCTGGAGACAGAGCTTGACGGTGGGCGTGGGGCTTATGGGTGGGCTTCATGGATGTCCCTGGGCCGGAAGTCACTGGCTCTGCCACCAACTAGCAGGTCCTTTACTGTCTCCTTCGTTTCCCCAGCTGCAAAGGGACCAGCTTCATCATGATGCTCTGGGGGACCTGGCAGTTAGGACCGTGGCAGAGAGTCTCTAAACGGTCCATCTTTAGTGGCTCGTGGACCCCTTTAGAAAACCGAAGAGAGCATCAGACTCTCAGATACGCAGTGCAAACTTCTGCATAAAAGTCCCTGGGTGTGGGGCTTCCCTGGTGGCGCAGTGGTTGAGAGTCCGCCTGCCGATGCAGGGGACACGGGTTCGTGCCCCGGTCCGGGAAGATCCCACATGCCGCGGAGCAGCTGGGCCTGTGAGCCATGGCCACTGAGCCTGCGCGTCTGGAGCCTGTGCTCCACAATGGGAGAGGCCACAACAGTGAGAGGCCCGCGTACCGCAAAAAATAAAAATTAAAAAAAAAATCCCTGGGTGTTTGTGGATTCCCTAAGATCCACCCATACACCCAGGAACCTGAGGTTCTAATCATACTCATAAACAGGAAGCAATCACACCCGATGCCCCACCAGCTAGAAACCTGTAATAAAGGGAAACAGAACGCTAGCTCTTTCGGCAGCAGCCACAGCCCGCACACAGACCAGCTCCTAATGAGTCCTCCTGTTTGCTGATGGAGGACACTTGTAATAGAGTTTAATGTGGAAGAACAAGGTGCATTTAACCAAAGCTGTAAACATCTCTAATTCAATTTAAAACTATAGGGTGCAGTACATTAACATTTAACAACCGGACACTCAATCGGCGTGAAGTTGGTTGAGCTGTGTTTATTAGAAAGCAGGCTCCAGGTCATCTTTTATCAATGACAACAGAAGCAGAAACCCTCCGTGACAAGCCTCCCGCCCCGCCCTATGCATTAATTAAGTCTTCTCCAAGTCTTCCACCCTGTGGAAACACACCGATAGCTTTGGAAAAAATTCCCCTGAGCAGGGCAGACATGGCTCAGCACCAAAGTATGTTAGGCTTGTGCACTCGGGGAATTGTTTGCCCCAGCAAAACAAATCTTTTTAAAAAATGTGAAATGAACAATTAATTCAGAACGAGCAGCGGTTTAAACTCCATTCTACTTGACCGCTGAAGAGTTCACACTGCTGAGCCCCACCTCCTTTCAGAAACTCCCAGACACAGCTTTCTCCGACCATCTCCGACCCCTCTGAGCTTGCTCTGCTCTGGTCCCCGTCAGGCTCCTCGCCTGCTCTCCAGACCAGACCTGCGGGCAGGGGAGTACCCACCGCTCAGGCCTGGTACCTTCCCTCCTGGCTGAACTGCCTCTCTCTGGAGGAATTTGCTCACTGGCAGAGCTTCAGCTGTGACCTATATTCTGAGGACACCCCCATCCCCCCTGGGGTTCCAGATCCGCATTTCCCAACAGTTTACATCCTTGCTACTCCAAGTGTGCTCTGGGGACCAGAAGCATGGGCAACCCCTGGGAGGTTGTTAGAAACACAGACTCCCAGGGCCCACCCAGACTTCCTGAACCGCGAGCCACAGTTTAACAGAGACCCAGGTGATTCACGCACACGTTAAAGCTTAGGGAGAACTAGTCTATCCTATCCATCTGGACACTTCCCAGAGTCCAAATTCAGCAGCTCCAGGCTGAAGGCAGATCCTTCCTCCAAAACATGAAGTCCTTCTTTGTTTTCCAACCCAGCGAATAGCTTCTATCTGGTGTATGGGGCGGGGGTGGGGTGTGTTATGCTGGGTTGGGGGGAAGGTCAACATTCCCAGCAAGTGGCTGCCTCATCTTATAACAGGCTCCCTCCTGCCCAGGGATACTGGAAAGACAGCATGTTCTATGTGGAAGCCAGCCTAAACTTCAGGGCCAGCCAACACAAAAAGGCTCCCTCCAAGGTCCACATGACAGGGCTCGCCCTGTCAAGTCTCTACCCTGTGCCCTTCCCCTGTTGCCACCAGCATGGCTCAGTACTGCCAGGGTCCCTACTCCAAAACTGAGAGTCCCTCTCTTAGGAGAGCATCAGGCCTGAACCCTGATGGTCCCTCTCCATGGAGAAGGGCGTCTTCGGAGCCCTGTGAGGGCCCCACTGAGTGAGAAACAGAGGGCAGCAGGAGCTCGTGGCTGCCAGTTCAGCTGCTGGATGTGACGGAAGTGGGCTCCTTGGGCGGTACCCTCAGTAAAATTCTTTGCTTCCTGGGCTGGGAAACAGCTTTGATGCATACTGTATTAGTCAGAATTCTCTCCACTGCAATCTGACTAGCTTGAGCCAAACCAGGATTTAGATAGTAGGAGAAGTGGGTGGTTTATTGAATCGAAAGAAGATCTAAAGGAAAAAGAAGAGTCTGGGGGATCTTAGGGGCTGGGAGCTGGGATTCCGTGCTCCCAGGACCCTGTCCTCCCTGCTGCTTTCTCAGCATCTCCTTCATTCGCCAAGCCTTCTCCACTTGGCAGGAGACGTCGCTGTAGGTGGTTCTGATAGGCGGCATCCCAGCTTAGCTGCCCAAGGGAAAGATGCTTTCTTTTTCCTAAGAATTCTGATCCGCCTAGACCCCGGCCTCATGCACGCTTTGGCCTATTTTTTTGTGGCCTAGGGCATGAGTCCCATTCTTGGCCCAGCCTAGGTTGTAGTCATGCGTATCAGGGGCTGAGTGATGAACAAGGCCATGAGTAGTCCCTAAAAGCATCAACTGGTTTAGCGTTCTTATCCCAAGTGAGTCTTTGGGCACATCAATGTGTGGGATGATGACTATGCACTAAAAAATATGAAGTGCCCCATGTCATTTTCACACCAACAAATTTGAGGGGGAGGGTTAGGCTTGGCTTTTTCTTCTATGCCCTGTGAGTTAACAGAGACATGATGATTTAATGAAGAGGTGATCTTAAAGAAATCCCAGCCCTGTCCTCCTAGCACAGCTGCTTTAGTTCAGGGCCTGGGGCTTTGACTTGGCGAGACGGTTGCTTTCGGGGAATACCCCTTTCCCTCTCCTTTCCTCCTGTGAGGATTCTGCCATGCATGGCCTAGGCCGAAATCCACCACCAAATCTGAGAGTATGTGCACTCTGCCTGCAAGTACCACTGCGTTCCATTCTGCGCAATGGGTTCTTTGTTCTAACTTTATTTAAATGCACAGGCCATTTTCCATGTTGAAAACAGCTTGTCTATAGTTGTTCCCACAGATGCTTTATGGCAAAACAAATTGAAGAACTTTTCCTAATTTCTATTTGAATGATGTGTATTCCTTTACTTATCTTCAGAAATGTCAATACAGACTTAGTGGTGTACTTGATAGAAAACAAATAAGTAGACCCATTTTTAAGTTTATTATGACAATAATATCAAGGTTTATCATCCCGAAGAAGCGTCAGGTGCAAATCATCCATTGCTCCCAGTTCTGAGCAGAGCTTGGACAGTTTGCTTCTAAAAATAATAGTGGGACAAGCTCTGCTTAGATGTTGTCAAGAGCTTCCATGATTCCCTTGGGAAGCATTTTCAGTAGACAGTGATGGTCTTGCCGCTTCCTTTTATACCCTATGTCAGCAGGTCTCCCACTCACGCACCTCAGTGTGGATTTATGCAGCTATGACCAGAGTTTAGGAGAGTCTGAATTGAATCACTGAATAGCAATGACTTGTTGGACTTAACCTACAGTTACCAGCTCTTCCAAGCTTGTGCTCTTCCATATGTGATGGCACGGAGCTCCCACTGAATTTAAGGGGGTGGGTTTGGGGGTGACTGAAGTTCAGCTCTGCAGAGGCCTGGAGATCTCCTACTCCATGGCCCTCTCCCCACCATCGCCTCTTCACACACCCCAACTCTCCACTCCCAACTGGCACTCCCAGGGCCCCACCTGTCCAAATAGGTCCTTGTGCAAATTAGGGAATCATCCTCCTTCCCCAAAACACCATATAACCATGTTCTGCTGGAAGACTGCCATGATAAAAATATGATAGGATGCCTAGGATAATTATGATATGAATGGTGTGCTAACCTTATATCCTCCTGTCCTAAAGAGATGCTCTGGGAAGTTCCTCCTCAAAAACTGCGCAGTTTATTCACTACCTTGGAAATCTGGCAGAGAGGGAGGGAATGAGATGCAGGTACAGGCTAGAGAGAATGACTTCCTCTTTGTAAAGTCAGGTTATTTTTGCTTCTGGAAAATCATTACCTGCTCCCGATTGGTCCCTTTCCAGTAAGCTATCATGGGTCTTTGGGAAAGTTACTGTAGAGCTAAGTTTACGGACAAATATTTACTTTTTAAAGTTATTGCAATGAGAGCCTTAAATAGTAGAGACATTTTCATTTTGAAAATATGGACTGGTTTTAGCATGTATGTTAGTGTACTTGTGTAGCTATTTATAGTGTCCAGAATCTTCCAATAGTCATTATCCCATTACAAGAATTCTATGAGAGGTTAACTCACCTTTGTATAAACATAGAGTCTGAGACAATTAGGGGATGAGAAACTCAACCAAGTTCACATGGCTGTACAGAGGGGCACAACTCACACTCAAGGTTGTGTTTAAAATATACAATTTACCATATATACATGGTCCATTACAAAGCCAAACAACTTCTGTAGTGTGCACTAGAAATCCACCCAGACCACACTCACACATCAAGAAGTGTGTCCTTAACAACACAGCTGATAGGATGACTCTGTACCAGAACGGATCCGCCTTCAGTGAGATCCTGGATGTCATATAGGCCCACAGAGCCACTTCCCCATGGATCTATTTGCCATATGCATCACTGCCTCCCAGCCAAGCTAATTAGAATTCACATGCAAAGTTGAGTCGGGCAAGGCACTTTATAACAGAAGCGTGTTCAGGACACAGTTTTCCAGCCCTGCTTATACTTCCTATTCTCCTACCATTGGGGAACCAGGCAAAAGACTATGCTCTCACACGAGTGGACATTCAATTAGAGTTGGTAACCTCGGCACACTTCCAAGAGGTCCCCTTCTTCCATCTGTCAATCGATGGCAAACCCCCGGCTCCTTTGGAAAAGGGTGAGTGAGAACTTCTTGGAGAATATAAGTCTCTATGCCAGGATAAGCCCCCCCTGCCAAAGGGGTGGAAGCCCTTCAGAATGAAATATGTTCTACTTGTCCAGTGGCCGTGGGTGATAGTGGGTAGAGAAACGGGCACTGGGGTATCTAGATAGTTCACTGTCAGCTTAGATGTCAGACTGCCTCACAGTCTGTCTCTCTGCCCTTGAATCACCAGAGCCAGAGCATCTATTTAAAACAAGAGATGCTATCTTGAGTGACCGCTTGCAATAAGCACTTTGCACCGCTCTGGGTGCCCTGGCAATGTTATCTGATCCTTTGAAAACCAATTAGTACATATCTACCATCTCACACTTGGGCCTATAATGGCATTTCCTCTAGCTATATATTATGAGCTTGATATCACAGATACAGGAAGGGTAGAAGATTAAAATTCAGATTAAAAATTATAAAACCCAGAGAAACAAGAAGAAACATGAAGGGGTTTGGCTCAGCAGAAAATCTCCTTGGATGGTCTCAGAATCAAGAGTCCTCACCGCTCAGCACTCAGACCCAGAAAATCTTGTTCTGGGAGATTTGTCCAAGGGCTGCAGCCCCTGCTCTTTTGCAGAGAGGAGCCTTGTACCTCTCTGAAGGCACCTGGGATGCCGTTGGAATGGGGCTCCCACCACACAGAAGGCACAAGTGAAAATACAAAAATAAGGACTTTGTATCCAAGGTTTCATAAATAACTGGGGTGGCGGATATTAAATACGATGCAGAGTTACAGTTTGTTCTCCTCAAAGAGGATCTGGGCATAGACGGTGCTGGTGGGAATGCCTTTGGCAGCCTGGTGGGGCTTGATCAGCTCCAGCTCAGCATAGGTCAAGTTCTCTTCGGCAATCTTTGGCTATAAGACAAAACACAACACAATTTGAGCTGACTGCCGGGAGTTCAACATCACACATACATTCATCAGGCATGTATTTTCATAGCACTTTGGGGATTCAAAGGGAAACAAATGGACAAAAAATTTAAAAGGAAATGTAAAACCTAAATAACATGAGATAGATCTTGTTATCTTATACAGAACACTATGTCTTGCAAAAAACACTATGATTTATTTTTAAGTTGTCACAGAATACTAACAAAAAATTGATTAAACATGAGGCCACAAAGTAAACTTTAATTCTGAAAAGTAAAAATAATGTAACTACAGTCTCTCATCAAAAGGATAAACTAGAGGTAGAGACAGAAACAAAAAGTCCCCAAAACTGACAACAAAACTAGAATGCTACCATCTAGAAAATATAAGTGACTTAACCTGTATAAAACTGACATTTCTGCATATCTTGAAAATAATGATGAAGATATTACATGCCAGAACCTAAAGAATGTAGTACTCAGAGAAAAATCATAACCTTAAATATCTATATTAAACAACATGAATTAAGTGGACCAAGCATCCAACTGAAGTCAGTAAAAAAAAGGAACAAAATAAAGAAAAGCAGAAGGAAGAATGAAAAAAATAAACACTAGACTGTATAAGTCAGAAAATAGAAAACAGTAGAATAAACAAAAATACCCAAAAGCTTGTGCTTGAAAAACACCAATGAAACAAACAAGAAAATTAATCAAGATAAAAAGGGAAAAAGCAAAAATGAATCAAATAGGAAATGAGAAAGGACGTATAATAAAATGAAAGAAGTTTTAAAGCTTCAACTTTGTTCAACATATTGCAAAAACCTTGAAATACAGGGTAAAATGAGTACTAGTCCAGAAAAATATAAATTATGCACATTAACTCCAGAAAATGTCAATGTACTACCATCAAAAACAAAGAATGAAAAGAAAGGACCAGAGGAAGGAAGGCCAGAAGGCAGGCAAGACAATATTGCCAAAAGCACCAGGCACAGGCAGTTTGATAAGAGAATTTCTAAGAGAGATTCCCTTAAGGAACAGACAATTCCAATATAATTAAACTGATCCAGAGCATTACAGAAAAGGAAAAACTTCACATATTTTAGAACAATTTCATGTATTAGTATAAATTAGCATAAATCAGATTTACTCAGAGACTATGAAAAGGCACACTAAAGATAGATAATCATGTTCAAGTTGACTTTTTTCCAGGAATGCAAAGATGGTTCAATATTAGAAAAATCTATTAATATAATTCACAGTAGTAACAGAGAGAAAAACCATATGGTTATCTCTATAGATGCTGGAGAGGCATTTAATAAAAATTTTAAAATTTTTGTTAAAAATAATTCTTGATGGGCTTCCCTGGTGGCGCAGTGGTTGAGAGTCCGCCTGCCGATGCAGGGGACACGGGTTCGTGCCCCGGTCCGGGAAGATCCCACATGCCACGGAGCGACTGGGCCCGTGAGCCATGGCCGCTGAGCCTGCGCGTCCAGAGCCTGTGCTCCGCAACGGGAGAGACCACAACAGTGAGAGGCACGCGTACCGCAAATAATAAAAAAAAAAAAAAAAAATTCTTGATAATGTAGTCATAGATTTTTTTCTTACCATGATTAAGAAACATTATTAAAATAAAGAATAATTGGTGATCCAACTTCAGTCATATTAAAAATAAAGCTGCTATAATTAAAACGCTGTGGTATCAACAAATGAATAGACCTCCGTGGGACTGATGAAAACATTCAGTAATTAACCCAAATATTATTTTTCAATAAACGGTGTTGGGATACTCGGGTAGCCATTTGAAAAAAATCATATCCTTTATGTCATTCTTTACATTAGATAAATTCCAGATGAATTAAAATTTTAATATGGAAACTGAACTCATAAAAGTGTTAGAAGAATACGTGTGGGGAAATTTTCAAAAAAATAATCTCAGCATTTGGAAGGTGTTTCAAAGTCTAACACAAAATCCAGGAGCAACAGAAAAATGATATGTAAATTTTCATGCTGTATATTGCAGAATATTCTCTAAATAAAGTCAAAGGACAATTGAAAACATGAGCAAAATATTTGCAACTCACATGAAAGGGCCTTACAATTTAACAAAGATAATGGCCAACAGTCCATTAGAAAATTAAGCAAAGAACAAGAGACAGGACCAGAGAGTGCACAGGAAGAGAAACACAAAGACTCTTACACATATTGTGACTCAACCTCTCTCAAAATAAGACAAGAGAGATTTAAAATCACTTAGACATCAGTTTTTGTCTTTCAAGTTGACAAACAAACTAAAAGTTTTCCAAAAGAAACAGAAAGAAACAGGTCCTCTTGTATATTGTTGGTGGAAGTGTTTATTGGTACAAGCAAAAAACTGCAAACACTTCAGTGGACATCAATAGGAGCCTGATGCATTCATAATGGAGTATCCGGTACAGTCTTTAAAAAGAATGATGGAGCTGTATATGTATACTGTATGTTTTCCTATCATTTGTGTAGTGTATGGGAGTATATATACATGTATATATGTTATATACTCAGAAAACCCTTGGAACTCGCCTGGAAGTCAAGAACCTGGTCTCCAAGGTTCCCTCTGGGGAAGTAAATGGGGTGGCTGGAGAGAGGCTCAACCTTTATTGTAGACATTTGTTGGTACCTTTCCAATTTTCTAGATGGTACATTATTTAAACAGCACATTAATTAATTTTAATTCACAATTAGAAAAATAAAAGCTGGTCACTAATTTATAGTCGTAAAAGACACATCACTTTCATTTAAGCAGCCCTGCTTTTGTTTTTTGGCTGCTTTGGCTGTGTTGTCATTGTTTTATTTTTATTTTGGGGGCTATACCTTGGTTAACTCACCAGAATTCAGGACAAATAAATCGTACACATTCGATTTAAGTTTCTTAAAAAGTATGCCAAAAGCAAAAAGCCTCTTTTCTTTTGAGATAAAGCATCACACTAGAGGACAGGGAGCAAGAGACAGAGAGAATGTAAAGAACTCCTTACGGCCAGTACTGACTGGTCAGGGGCGACCGCTGAGCAACCTTCAAAATTGTCTGGCCCTTTTTAAATTTCAACGTTAAGGACAATTATAGGGATCAGAGCCTCCTGCTTGTCTTTTGATACCAAAAATCTTTACGTTGTTTCTTAGTCATCCATATCTTACCAGCCAACAAAAACACCATTTACATCTTGCCTTTCGGTTTAATTACATTTCACATTATAATGATTCCATTTAGAAATGCCATGTGTCCTCAAATAAGCACACAAAAGCCAACTCATGTAAATTTTAGAACCAAGATTTATGAAATCATATTGTCCAGGTGTTTTATTACATTACTTTGAAATTGCATTGTTTTCTAGTGTAGATTATCTGTTTATTCTTTTTTTTTTTTTAACTGTTTATTCTTAAGTTATTCCATTACGTTTGGATATGAAAAATAACACTAGCTTTCTCAATACAGGTCACCAGGCTGGCTTGGCTGATGTGTTGTTTTCATACATTTTTATGATGTTCCTATAGTAAACATAATTTAATAAAGCCAAAGCACACTAAATAAATAATTGCATCTAGAAAAGCAATAAAAACAAATAAAATTAGTACTTTCATAAGTGGAAAGGTACTTCAATTACTGCTACAAGCAACAACCCACCATAAAATGTGTAGAATCATTTCCCTTATGCATATTTCTGGAATATAATAATTTGATTGAAGATATGAGGCAGCACACAGGAGGCTCTGTATACAGTTTCCAACAGGAGATGCATAATATTAGCCCTTGGCACCTTTAAAGAACGTATTGTTTTTCTGGCATGCATCCTTGGCTATCCCCATCAACCATGTTCTTAATTACATTTCCCAGCTTGTTTAACTAGAAATAAATTCCTAACAGCCACTGAAATGGGCAAAATGTAGACTCCTCACCAGTTTTCACCCAGCTACCTTTCTTTGCACTGACGCTTTAGTGGAAGGTTTAGGTGCATTAAGAAGTAGCTTAGAGAAAATTAATGGCGTTATCAGTGAGACCAGGTAAGACTGTAGAACTGGTAGTAAAACTGGGAGCCAGGAGCAGAATGTAAAGGTTAAAGTGGGCAATTGCAATGAGGCAGAGGCAGGGTGAGGGGACCTGCTGCAGGGTCCCACCCGTATGTCAGGTGATGTCCGCCATCTTGCCAACACAAACCTGTTTGGATTTAAGATAAGGAATCACTCCTAATGTGTATGGCAATTCAAGAACTGGAGTACAGTGAATGTATCTCCGAAGGTGAATCAAGACATACTTCTGTTAGTTCCCTGACAGCTTCTGGCCCTCAAATGACCCTCTCTTCAAGCCCCCGTCCCGTTCCTGGTGGTGCAGGAAGTACATGGGGCATCAGCACTCAAGAAGACCAAATTTAATACTCTTGAACTGGCTTTTCACAAACACACCTGCAGCAGCTCTCGATTGCACTGGAAAACACAAAGGAAACTGTGGAAGGTACGGCTTCCAGGCCTCAGACATGAGCTCTACACTTAGATCTGCTGTTGCTGTGTTCCCGGAAACAGAAGGGGGCTGGCGACCAATAGCTGGAAGTTCTGGTAGGGTCCTTTAGAAGAGGCTCCAGAACTTTCTAAACATGTGAGAAGCAATAGTGCCATTTCCTCTTTCCCAGGACTGTTTGGTTTTACTTTCTTTTCCCTTTCACCCAGCCTGAAGAGACTCCTGGTCCATTTCTCTTTCTACTCCTCCAACAGAGGCCTGGTATTTAGTGTCAACTGCTTGGAGTCTCGTAGGTTCTAAACCCCTTTGTTTTATGTGCCTTTAATCTCACTTTTCATACATTTCCTCCTAGTCATGAAGAATCCACTCCCTAGTCTGGAATGGGATTCTATGAGCAAGGGGGGGTGGAGGTTCGGAGGTAGACACGTGTCACTGCACCCAAGGAAGGTGAGAATAAAAGGAAATTCTCCCAGTTCAGTGAAAGTGTTCACGGCAAGGAGGTG